CACGTCCTTTTGGGTGGTGGTTACCACCACCACCACCACCACCACCACCACCTGCAGGAACATCCCATCCCGGCGCCCCCGCTCCCCATGCCGTACCTTCACGGGGAAATAATCCCGAAAGTGCCTCCACACGGGCCATCGCCGCAGGCAGGGCAGCCTCCTGCCACCTGCAAACCAGGGAGGGACCGCAGGGGATGACGCTCACCACGGACCTGCCACGTCCCTCCGCGATGGCAATGGGGGAGAGGAAGGAAGGAGCAGGCGGGACATGGCGCTCCCCATTTGCCACGCTGGGATGGAGCCAGAGAAAGGGGGGACACCGCACCCCATCCTGCTGCAAAGCTGGAGGAAGGGGGGCTCTCTGCCCATCCCTACCTTTCTCTGGCGTGTCCCAGTCGAAGATGATCCAGGCCAGGTAGAGCGCGGAGATGGGCCAGAAGCTGGTGAACACCAGGTAGATGAGGAGCAGCAGGCTGACGATTCCTGTGGGAGCCGGGGAGGGGGGTGAGTGGGCACCCTCCTGCCCCACCAGGACCCCACCGAAGCCCCCTACTCACCCAGCAGCAGGAAGCTGAGCACCCACTGCAGGACGGAGAGGAGCTGGAGCCAGGAGCGGACGTCCCGCTGCGAGGGCCAGGGTCCTGCGAGCAGGGTGCGCAGGGCAGTCTGGACGCTGGCGCGGCTGCCTGCAGGGAGGGACATGGCACCCAGCCCAAACCAGCAAGGGTTGTGCAAACGCTGTCCCAGTATCCAGGATGGGCGTCCCTGTCTGGTGGTACCCTGGCTGCTGGGGTTGGGGTACGGGGGCAAGGCAGGAGGTAGGATGGGAAGGATGAAGCAGGTGGGTGAGGAGGGACGAGATGGGATGGGGGATGCTCATTCCCAGGGAGCTCCAGACCATGCCAGGAGGTGGCCCTGGGCAACTTGAGGCCGCTCTGGGGCCAGCCCTGCTCCGAGCAGGGGGCACCTGCCAGGCTGGGCACCCCTAAGCCCAAAAAGCACCCATGAGCCTGGCTGCACCAGTGGAGCTGAGCGCAGCGGCACATCCCACACCATGCTGAGCTCCCTGAAGGCCAGGACCTTCCCCGTGCCCTCCTTGACGTGTTGAGGCTCACAGAGAATTTGGGGCTTTCTTGGCCAGCACAGCAGCATCCGCCCCCCAGCAGGTGCCAAGGACAGTGGCCAGGGGCCAAGCCAGGGTGGCGGAGGCTGGCCATCCCCACGGCCATCCCGCCGAACCTTGCCTCCTGTGAGGGACGGTCCAGCAGCCGCTCCACTCCCCCCGCCGCCCCCTTCCCTCTAGCCAACCTTGGTGAACCATTAACCGCCCCGGGCTGGGTGCCAGGATCCAAACTCCACGTGCCGCCCCATCCCTCCTCCCCGAAACGGGCCTGAGGCGCCAGTCCCACCAGCGCACCGCTCCCAGCCAAAGGTCCACTGTGACTGAGACCACCCAGCACCGCCACCGCTGCGACCGCAGCCAGCTACCTCTTGTATCACAAGAGCCTTGTTTTCTTGGGAAAACAACCCCAAATCAGCATGCTGGCCAGACAGAGAGATGCTCAGGGTGGGACAGGAGCAAACCTGTCCCCATGGCTCCCCAGGCCAGGGACCCTCGGGTGGGAGGCAAACCACCAAACCCCAGTTCGGGTGGCTGGTGGAGGTTCAACTCTTCCCAGCTCAATCCAAACCATGAACTGAAATAAATTAAACACTGGAGCCATGACCAGCATTGAAGAATTATTTTTCCCTCTCCCCTAAGCAGGGTGCTGTGTTTAAGCGACCCCTTCCGCCCGTCTCCGCACGCCCAGCGCGGCATCCCCAAAGCCCTGCTGCCCGCACGGCCCTGCCCTTCTCAACTTCCCAAAGCCCCCTTTTTTTTTTTTTCCCCGGGGAAGATGCAGAGCTGGCAAATTTGTGCCTCCCAAACAGTTGCTTTTTTTAGTTCCTTTTTCTAACTCTCCCCCCAAGCGCTCTGTGAATGTCCCGACCGCAGACAGAAAACGGAGAAAGCCCAGGGGCTCCGCTGCCAGCCCTGTCCACGGCGACAGAGCGCTCCTCCAACCCAGAAATTCAGACTCCGCAGCCCGGGGCAGCAAGGAAAGACGGAGGGGAATTGGCAGCGCCCTGGAGCATCTTGCAAGGAATAACGTTACCGAATGCATTGTCAGAAACTTCATTCCTGTTGAGCAACTGTATGTTTTCCTCTGGTGCCGCTAACCCCAAATTGCTCCGAACACCTCCCTTTCCCCTAAGCAGCAAATAGACAATAGCGACAACAAATGCTAACCAGTGCCCAACTGGTTCCTCGCATGGCCAGAGCATCAGAAGCCATTCAAACACGCTTTGGGAAGATCTTACCGCTAAGATTTTGGGAGCAGGCTGAAACAATTGTTTTCATGGTGGCCGGGAGCTCTGCGCCAGACCCTGGTTCAGCA